TTATTCGATGCGTCCCGCACGTTATTTTCGCATTATTCGCGAAAGATTTTATTTCACAGAGGATATCTATACGACGTCACACGCCTCACGCGAGTAATTGATAAAACTATTTACGGTGTATTTTCTGATTTCACGGTTGGAATTAAGGATAATATATCGCGGAGATGATCGTCGATGTTTGGATTACGGGTTCGATGATGTTCTCTCGTGTACCATATTTTTTCCCCCCTCCCCTCCCCCCGAGTGTAATAAGCGGGTTGTTATCGCGACCATCGAAAGATATCGAGTCCTTTCATCGGCAATTGGAAGGTAAAAAACATGAGAGAATTTTATTCGTTGTTACTCGAACGATACATTTAATAATTCAACCGACGCGAGGATGTATAATTGTTGCTCTAATTATTCCGATAACGGTGCAATTAAGTTTCACGTGTAACATGATTTGTGCCGGCGATGTGATGCACTCTCTCGCCTCGACACAATGAAGAGAGAATTCTTTCATCGCGGGCAGGAAGACGGGCGAACTGTTTTTCCTTCGAGATCGGCAGGTGAAATCCGCTCGAAAATGCGTCACAATCGAGCAGGATTAACATTTTACACGAACATCTACCGTGTCGTGTAAAATAACCATTGCCAGGATCAGGCAATGGTTGCACGGTTGCTACTCTTTCTCTCGTTATTTTCTCGTGTATTTATGTACAACGCCATTATTTAAGTTGAACGTGTATAATATATTGGGTTAAACTGAACTACTATTTGGTTATTCATAATTCTCTATGCACACTCTCTACAATCTTCAACATCTACATTGAAAATTTTAGAATTGGAATTTAAAATGATTGATATATGTTATAGAAATTTTATACATTTGTATTTCTTATAATATACGAGTAAAAAATAATTATTATAGACGGATTATTATTTACGTATAAAGACATTTCACATTTATTCTAGATTAATTTCATTATCTTTTTTTTTTTTTTTTTTTTTAAATACTCTCCACTAATTTTCAATATATTTTCTCATTAACACGTAGTTAATTTTATATTCTACTATCTTTTCTCTATATACTTAAAGATTCTTTCGAAACGAGATTAATGAGTTATGTGACTGATATAAGCAACTCCCTTCAAAGAAGAAATATCATTTTTCGATATGTATTCACACGTGTTGTACTTGGCTCGGCGTAAACATATTAACAACACATGAGAATTGAAATTTATTGGCCTGTTTCATATTTATGACACGCGGTGTATATTTTATCGTATTACGATATCACGTTTCACCATCGTGCGCAAATTATAGAAATGATTCCGTCGTGGTTGCTATTCGATTGCTATTGGAATGAAAAAAAAAAAAAAAAAAAAGAAAAAAGAAAAAAAAAACAGGAAGCGTGTAACCGCGAAAAATCGTATAAGCGAAAAATTGCGAAAAAAAAAAATTGTTATACGATGTTGCATTGTATCGTTTCGAGCATCGTTATGCTCAATTCATGGTAGATTTGCCGGTCGATAGGATTTCTCGTGCATTACCGCATTAGTGCACTTCATCGCGATAAGTAACAAGCTGTAAACTGCTTTCCCCGATGTGATGCAGGACTGCGCGATTTTGTTGCCTCGGTACAAACGATAATAGCGCCCCGTATACACCGGTTACTTAACGTTCATTATAATTAACACGCTCGATGCCTTAACTTTCCCAGGAGGAAAGCGAGAATAATGCAGGTTTGTAATCGCCGACGCGTACGCATTTCGTTTTATCATTTCCTCGACTGGCTAATGACCAAGGAATTTACCAAATTTAATATACCTTGTTGACTATTAAAGATATCCCGCTCCTTTAATCTTTTACCGCATACCGTGGATCCGTAGTTTTAAAATGATTAAAACAATTGCATCATCAAGCGATGCAGGTCGAATACGTACGTCGAATAATGGATTTACAAATAAAAATCTCTGAATGTTTCATTAGCAAGCGCTTTGTAGCGTAAAAATCTGTAAATTGAAGAAAAAGAAAAGAAATAAAGATTCGAGAAATACTGTTATAACCAATTAAAAAATATTTGGACGGAAAGTGACTCACGTAGGAGGAGTTTAATGAACGGTCGGTAAGAGCGGAAGAGTGTGGTGAAAGCAATGCAATCCCATTTCATGAATTCCGGGTGTCTTTGAAGAGCGACGATCCACACCGCGATACCATAGCGCGCTCCGTGTTCCACAACAATTAACCGATGGCAATTAAGACATCTAAATTAATTCGTTATAAACAAGCCAGATATTCCGTAGCGAGCGGAGCAACGTAATTGCCCGGATTCTCACAAGCCTCGTGGTAAAGAGAGAGAATCCCCGGTGCACGCTTACACCTGCACAGCGTTATACATAATGTATATGCACGTATACCGTGCAATTTACCAACACCAAGAAACGGTCGCCCGGTAATAGCAACAATTACTTTATTTTACCATCTTCCCGGTTCTCAAACGAGCGCGCGCGCGGGTGCGCTCACGAGAGTTCATCTAGGCAATTTCATTTCCTCGCATTTTAAATATCCGCCTTCATCAGAAGAAGTCGTGGAGCTGACTTTCTTTTCTCGCCGAAGAACAGGCCGACTGTTTAAGCGCGGATTAAAAAGGCTTCTGCACATTTAGCTCTCGTTGTTGAACTATGGAGCGCTCTGGAAAACAATGCGCTGATTAGACGCGATCTTTGGTATTTATGCCTGTCTATGTGTAGCCTCTCCACGTAACGATGGCCTTAATTTCACGATCAAGATCTGAGAAAATTATAAGTTACCGTTTCCTGGAACAACTTCTCGTCCCGTGTAATATACCAAATTGAAATTATAATTCATACGTGTATGAACGCTTATTTACGCTTTGCGATTGCCATTCTCCTCGTACGCTTGGTGTCCCTTTTGCGCCCGATAGCGATCTGTAATTATACGGATCAATTAAGGGAAGAAAATAAAACGAAAACAGCAAATATAGTGTGGATAACAAAATTGTGAGCGAATATTCGAATCATGATAGTATTTTCATCGTCACGAATACACGGTTCGAGTAGTTTTATATAATAATTTCATTATTGCACGAATCTCGACAGTTTCCTGATGCCGTGTTGTTACCATTATAATTGTCGTTTATCACGTCCGTTTCCTCATTTTCAATTATTCTAGTTAAGTGATGCGAATAATAATAATAACGATATCCACACGCTTTGAAAAAGTTTTGATAAAATGACGAATGAAATTTATGTAGTATCAGCGTGACGATGATTCGTTTCATCGTTTATACATATGTATATATATATATATTTTTTCAAACCTTTCACACGGCTCGAGCGGCAACGAAATCGTTAGAAACTCTACTGTCGCAAACGTAGATATGTTTTGCGAAATTTTATGTAACATATTTCGTCGTACTTTTGCTAGTTTCCTCATGCTGCACGTTAATTGTCATTTTTCACGTCCGTTTCCTCGTTTTAAACCATCCTACATATATTCGCTGAGCGACATTTTAGCGTTAACGAGTAGTAGTTTAACGACACTCCTGGGACTTAATTGGCTACCGGTGGATTCATCATGCCGTTCAACTACGCCTTTTTCTTTTGTTCCACGGATGCATCAATGTTGCGCTTTAACTTTGCAATCCCTTCTCAGCAGTGATTAATGTCTTGCGAACGAGACACGCTGATGAACAATGACAAATCACTCTCGAAACTGAATTGGCCTGTAATTTAAAAATTCGAATTGAAGTAACAAAAATATTTTCATTTCTTATCAGAAAAAGAGAAAAAGAGGAAACTACGAAATTATAAAAAAAAAGACGAATCTTAAGGATTAATTAATTAAATTGAATTTGTAAAACAATTTAGATAACATTAAATTAGAAATAGCGATTCAGAACTAGTGCCAAGATATTTAGCACCTTTTTTATAAGAATGATATGATTTCTTTAGAATTATTATTATTCCTATAAATTAATTGTAAAATATCAAACGGATTTTTCACTTATTCCTTGTTTCTTGGTACCAAAAGATTAACAATGTGACGTATAACGAATGGATGATGGTCGACAAAATCGTAAAAGGATTAACACAATATCGTATTTGTGAAAGAATTCGAATGGCATATAATTGGAAGGAGCAGCGATCAACAGTATGACGTTTAGCGAATCGATGATGGTGCTGGTGGACGGCTCGTGGTAAAAACGGCAGTTTGAAAAAAGAAGGAAAAAGGAAGCGATGAGTGGAAGAGGAGGAGGATGGGGAAGGATACTCGAAAATTATTCCGATATGAAACTCATCGCGCGGCGTATCGCGTCAAAGGAGCCAATTTAAAACAGCCCTTTCCAAGATTATCAGCGCGTCGTTGCGGTGGGATTAATATATAAAAAAGGCGAGTACAACGAAGGTGAGGAAGGGTGGGTTCGAGAAGAGATAGAGAGAGAGAGAGATAGAGAAGGAGAGAGTGGGAGGAAGGGCAGAAGCGTGCGGGATTGGTAAACTTCCCGGTAATTTGTTCGTCAGTCGCTTTGAACCTCTTTTAAACAACTACTGTGTTCTCTTCCACCTTTTTTCGCTATCTTCCCCCACTCTCCTCCATCGTTGCTCGTTTGAAAGAGGGAAATTATTGCGGAAAGGTGGAAGAAAGGCGGAGAAAGGGGAAAAACTTCGTGATTAAAGGTGCTTCAGCTTGTTAAATTATTCGGTAAGAAAGTGGCTGCATTAAAGATTCTATCGTGGGAAGTTCCCGAAGATATTTCCCTTGCAATTATCGATGAATCTAATGAATTTGTTCTTCCTCCTCTCGCTCATCCTTTTACAAATTTCGAACGTGTCGAGGATTTTATTGTCACTCGTATGACATACTGTTGTTCATCTAATTAAAGAGAATGAGTAAGTTTTAAAAATTGACGAATAATGGTGCGGAATTGCTGCTCTTATAAATATTTTTTTTAATTGTTTCATTTTTATACATACGTATATTCTGGATCTTGATATTAACACGCGAACTTCCTCCAAGTAACGAATATCTTAGATTGCCGCAATAAAGTGGTAATTCGGAGTATCAAAAACAACTTAACAGACACGATGATCAGATTAGTAAGTAGATATTCGCCAGTGTTTTTGGAACAGAATTTGCCTTTTCGTAGTCGTAATACATTTAAGTGCAATTTATAGCACATCGAAGAATCTCTGCATTCTAATTAAAACATAAATTAAAATTAAAAATTATAAAGATTTATTAATTTGTTAAATTCATTAAAAAAGTACTTACTTCTTTTTTTTTTATTTAAACATACTTCTTTAATTTTTTTTATATCTTTAATTGATATGATATTATGTTAGAAATAATTGTCGAGATATTATAAATCATCGTTACGAAAAATAAGATTGTTAACTTACCGTATAATCTGAGTTATATATCTCGCAGCAAGTGAAATAGCGTTGAATTTTCCGCTTCCTACATTTGTCGTTTTTTTTTTTCCTCTCCTCAGTTCTTACGTGACTTGTCTCTGCTTCTTTTCAAACTAGACACGCGAACATATATATATATATAATCAATTGAACGTTGCAACTTTATCACAATTGTAATGAGACAAAATGATAGAAATACTTCCAAGTTTCCTTTCTCATTATTTTAATTTATCTCTCATTTTTAATAACGTAATAAAACCGATACGACCAAAATTCAAAAGTTATTCGATTCACTTGCGAATATTATATTGTAAGAACGATATCTCATCGATATAACTTCCGTCTCGAAGTTAATTCAACGTATATTCGCGGTTGTATCTCGGAGACAGAAGCAATAAAAAGCTGAAACAATCATTTGGACACACCTGTAACTGTATGGCCATTATGCGATGCAGTCGTGTCGATTTCGAAATTCGATCGCCTCGGATCACCTAAGGTTTCTCGACCGTTACTCGTTGTCACCGACTCTGCCAGATTGCATTTGGATTTGCATATGATCGAGTCATGGGACTGCCGTGTTACGATCGCACTAACACGCATCCCAACTTCCGTGTCGCATCATATGGAACAATTCAACGCGTTAATTACGGAAACACAAACGAGATATACGAGAGAATCTCAGGTAGGAACGTGTCACGCCGCGAAAACACTTGATTAATTAATCGACTTGGATACGAACAGTATATGGAATTGGATTTTGACAAAAAAGAAAAAAAATAGTTGGATTCTTTTATCTAACGAATTAAAATTGTTGGAACTTATCACAAGATACCGTTTGATATTTATCCTAATTGGATATCGTAAATCATTTTAATTAAAAAGAGAAAGAAATGTCCATAATGACTTAGTTCAGATATCCGTCGAAAAAAATTACGTATGGAATTGTTCGTTACATATATTATACTGATTAGACTTTCTTTTACACGCTACTTCCGCTTTCACTACGCCGGAAATGTTTCCGTAATTAATTCATAGGAAAGATTCGTATTTAGATTAAATGAACGATAAAGTAAAAGAGATTCCTTTCTTGATTTCAATGTTCACATCACTTTGCACGTTATTCTTTCACATTCACAAGTGGAATCGTAATTGATAATATTGAATTTACAAATTAACTCGTAGTTCTCATAATTAATCAATTCTATCTTATCTTAAATTCAAAATGAAAAATGAAATTTAAGAAATATAATTAATTTTACGTAAATTGAAATTTGTTTGAAAGATGATATAGAATAGATCGAAACATCGAAAGTAATGACTAATATCTTAAAAATAAAAGTTGTATGATTTTTGCTTATATAAATACTAACTTTAAAACTGTGCTTTAAAACTAAAGCACAGAATTAATTTCGATTTAATAAAAAATAATGACACATCTTCTTTGATAAAACACATTTTTGTTTCGTCAAAATTACGATATGTATAGAAAATGTCACCAATAAAAAATCTAACCTATAGATTTTAGTAATAATTCAGAAACATATATAAACACAATAAACGAAGAATAGTAAAAAAGATAAAAAGAAGTATAGGAAACTATGAAAAGGCATAAATCTTAGGAGAATATTCTTTACCTTTTAAATACAGTATTTCCGTTAAATTTCTAGTTTCATAGTCGAATTTTTCTTTAATCGACGTTCAAATAGTCGATCGTTTTGATAATCGAGATTTCATCGTCGATGTTATTACTATCAAAAAATTCGGATAATCGAACATTAAGTCAAATTTCTACTTTTATAATCGAATTTTTCTTTAATCGACATTCCAATAATCGATCGTTCTGATAATCGAGATTTTATCGCCGATATCACTACGTATTAAAAAATTCGATTGATTCGTGAAAATATGGACACGAAATTTGCGAAACTTCGTAGATATACATACGTAAGTAATTGTAAGAAGAACGGTTCGTGTATTACTCGGTAGGGTGTGTATACGGCGTACACAGAACGATGTTAGACGTTTGATTAATAGCGTCAGCGCTGATTGGTCACGCTACTAATAAAGGAGCGTTCACACGTATTAAAAGTTCGCGCCTCTGCGTCCACGCCGGTGTGCTCAGCGTCTTCGGTCATTGTAGTCTAGTGTTGGCACGATATAACGAGGGAATGGCGTGTCTTGCTCATAATTGAACCGAGCACCTACAATCCAATCGTTCTTAATCATTCGAATTCATCTCGCTTGCAAGTTCCATTCTCCTTTATTATTCGTTGTCTTACCAACCTGTGAAACTTATCCGAAATCCATATTTCTTTTTTGCCAATAACAATTATGGCGATAGACAATATGGACAGTTTTGATTATTTTTGATTATTCAGATAGATTAATCCAACATGATTGTTCAATAAGGTATGTTACGTTAAAAACATTTCGATGGATGTTAAATATTTCAATCTGAATCTATGATAAAAGAAGTATATAATAATTCCACTTTCTCTTCACTATTCATTTTTTCTATGCAACTTTTAACGTTTACTATCATCGAGTGCTTTGCCAAAGTTTTTATATTACAATAGATTTTGTTCTCTTTAGAAAATTTTACTCGTTTCTATGAAAAATTTGAAAGGTTTTTCAGAAATCCATTCAATTGGCGGGAAAAATTCGTGTTATAGATTTGAATGCATTAGTCGAGACAAGTAACTGCACTCGTAAATTAATTTAGCTCTTTCCTTCAGAGCAAAAGAGCGAAGAGATTCGCGAAGAGCGAAAATGGCGGAGATTACGCGAAATTATGCAAATGCACGGCATTGTAAAGGGATCTGTTTTTCGTTTTATTGGACTGGGCCTGCGGTGTCCTCGGTCGTATAACCGAAACAAAAGCTTACCTAACGCGAGAACAAAGGGTATAGAGGCGAGTAGAAATCTCTTGAGGGCACACATGCAACGAATTTAACTGCTTCCCTAGGCATTACTCTTGCTGGGTTTCTTTTATTCCCGCTTATTCTCTAACTACCCCCGTCTATCGGTCTTCGTATCCTTTTCGTGGTTTACTATTTGCAAAAGCAAAGATTTTTCAGTTTAAATATAAAGTATTATACGGTCAGTCACAAAAATTTTCATACATTATCTTATAAGGAAATATTCATCCATCTTGAAAAATTTGATTTTAATGAAAATTTGCGTGCATAAATTTTTCAATAAGAAAATCTTTTGAACGTGTAAAATCGAACGTGTAAATTAAAGTTTCAAATTTTTATTTTATTTTTTGTGTTTTATACAATTATATATAATTTCGCCTCGAAATATTTTTTACAATTAAATAATAGAGTCTTGAGTATCTTATTATTTAAAATTATGCTCTTTTTTCCTATCTCAAAATTATATTTAAAAAACGAAAATAATATTGATAATTGAAGTGATTAGATGATTCATCCTCTCGAAATGATATTTCACTAATAAAAAAATTATTTCATATATAATCCATTATAGGTTACGTATTTATAATATTTTATATAAAATAGAATTATTATTAAGTTTGATAATATAATTTATTATATTATGTTTTTTATAAAACATTATTTTTTTTTTATATATTAAAATATACATTTATTAGAATCAGATTTTTCTCTGACACAATATAAATCGATTACAGGGTCGAAGGACGGTTGCTTTGAAAGGATATTCATTATGTTCCTGAAAGTGCGGAGTCTTCGTAACAGCTTTTAAAAGGTGACAAAATCCCCTTAGAGCACGATTCGCAAGGGTAGGCTAAATTACAATTAATTAATTGACTTCGACTCCCTGTAATTCATGCGGTAAGTCAAACTTAATTAATTACCCTTTAGGGTCAAAAAGAAGAGGGTTAAAGGAAAAAGAACTTTCCATCTTCTGATTTTAAGAGGTATTTGTAATGTTTTCGTTCATGAACTGTTTGGTTCTTAAAAATATGCATCAATAATTAGCTTCGTCATATCAATCAGAGCTAAGTGAAATTTATTTTAAGTACTAATTTAAAAATAATTACGTAAAATAATTTCAAATAAATTATACATATATATAAAACTTATTTCAATTGATGATTATGTTTTTCATTTGTCAATTAAAGGAATTTGAGGCGAGGTGAATAATTGAGGAAATAATTTGAAGAATTGATTATTTGAGGAACATTCAGAATAAGTATTGAACAATGAATAAGGTAATAATTGCAAATATATTAACTTATTTTTCGTACATATTTTAAAAATATATTTATCATTTATCAAATAAATTCAAATATTAAAGTAATGTAATTCTTTAATAAAAAAAATTAGATTAAGATTATATTTAAACAAAGAATTCATATAATTATTTACGATTCATTTTCTTCAATTTTATAGGTATATTCTAAAATTTTCAAATTATTTATTTATCGAAAAATAAAAAGCTTCTTAAAAAAAGAAACAACAAGATAATAGAAATGAAAATACTATCGATGAAAGCAACAGTTTTACTTCGTATTCGACATCAATAAAGTAGGTTGAAATGTCAGTGGTTGAAAAGGCTATTAATTACAGACACCCTCCTCTATTGTAACGACGTCGATAACTTTTCTATTATCCTTTTAAAAGAAGATTTAAGGCCAAATAGTCCTAACAACAGTACGCTTGCAGGTCGTATAATCCTTACTATCATTATCGAAATTTTTTTTCTTTTTTAACACAACCTTTACATCTGCTCCGAAACGAATAAAAATCTCGTTATCCGGAAAAGACTATCCTCAGCTGTTAGACTACACCCACAGATGTTTCTATTTGCAACACTTATGAAAGTATAAGCCAGAAATTTGACAGAGTATGATTTTATTTTTGGGAGTCATAAAATTTCAAAGGCAAGGACCACCACGTACACACATGCTACGATCCTTTGTTGTTAATGGAAGCCTTGATGATCGCGGACAATCGCCGAAGGTGTCTGTCTGCCTGACAAGCCGACACTCTCTACATTGTAATTAATCAATATTACATCGACAATACTTGTATGTGTGTTCCAGGCAAAAGCTATTGTCGTAATTTGCTGCTCTTCTCTTTTTTGTTTACGCCGCAATCGGCCACAACCGCGATTTTAATTGTATCGCTTTAAAGCAACATTTTAAAAGTTGGTTGCTCAAACGAGATGTACTTAATGAATCTTCGCGATGCTAATTGCACCGACTTGCAAATTGCTCCGACGATTTCCGACTCGTGCATGTATGAATTATAAAAATTCCATGAATCATGCAGTAAATCATTAAAATATATTTATATAAATCAACGAGCAATAAAAAAAATAGTTGTATAAGTAAACGTTTTTCTCTAAAATAATATAATGCAAAAAAATCTGTTGATTTTTCTTAATTATTAGCTATTTAATTTTTCTATTTTTATTTAAATAGATTATTAATTAGATATTATGACTATTAATTTAAAAAAATGCTACAAAATCGACAGAAGTTTTGCATATCTTTAATGTGAGTGAAAATTAATCGTGAGAGTTAAAAAAAAAAAAAAAAAAAAAGAAGAGAGTTAGAGCGAAAATTTGGCGAGAAGCGGGAAAGGGTAATTACTAATGATCGCAGAGGATCGTTATTAACCTTTCTGGTGGCGAGAGGCATCAGGACGTAGCAGGACCATTGTCCATTCCGCTAGGTTCATTACGGTGTTCCAGTAGGGAATGAGGCGATGGTCGGCTGGATGATGTAAAAAAGGGTAAAAGAGAAATAAGAAAAGTGTCGGGGGTCAGAGGAGACCGAACGGCTACCGTGAATGGCGCAGCCTGACCCAAGAGCTGCCGGGCATCAAAAGGGCCTCAAAAGGACCGCTTCGAACCTCGGCCTGTCCGAAGCTCATTTGTTTTCACCGGCGCATGGAAAGATCGATCGACCGATGTCTTAACCCTACACTCTCCACGGAATCATCCGCTTTCGATAAGAAAAATTCTGAGGCATTAATTAGATCGGCCAGTAATAGAGTCATGATGGAAAACTGATTGCCTGCATCGAAGTTATGGCAATTTACTTACCTACCAACTATCTTCTCTGCATTTCCTTCCATTTTCTCCTTGGTAGTATTTAACATAGTTTTATTAACTCATTTTTCTCAAAGGTTTATTGCATTATTTTTTTGTTTGTAAGTTTATATTTAATATTTATTTTTATACAGTTTATTTTACATGAAATTATCTAATATTTCTCTTTTAATTTTTTTTTATAATTGTTTTTTTCTTCAGATCACATTAAGCTAGATTAACTATCTCTTATAACGTTTTCAATATGATATCCACAATCGTGCAAGTCTCTGATATTTGTTATAAAATGGTGAAAAATACAATGAAATCCAGAATTGTTGTACATACTGGTGACAGGATCTCTATATGTAGAATAGAAAATTCCCATGAGGTATATATTCATGTTATCCGCATTGAATGTGTTAAACAGCATATACTTACCCTTTTTTTCTATTTCACATAGGTTTCTTGCGATCCTCTTTCTTCTTCTTGATATCGATTCGATGGATGATCGTTAATTTGAATGGACGAAATGATCGGTAACATTAGACTAGATAATTCGATGAGCAAAACAAAAAGAATATAAATTTATATTCTCCATCGAATCATTGTATCTTACGTTCTCACGGCAAAAACATGGTAGATTATCTTACGTGATTGGAGTGGATGAAAATTCCACGTAGACGGACGTGCGGGGTGGAAGTGTTGGGAATTTTAGAAAAATCGGATGAGGAAGAGGTTACACGAGAAGAGGATACTAGGATTGCATTTACAAGGGGGATTTGTACGGTAGTCGAGAAACGAAGTGAAATTATCGATGCGATTGCCACTGGAACAGACTCTCGGTTGAAGGGCCGACAAAGGGTCGATCAGTGATTCTTTCCATCTCCTTTCATCTCGTTCCTTTTTCGAAAGATAACCCCACGGTGGCCACCTTTTTGTTTGCACAGTGAGATTGCTTGCCTCTTGCTCGGAAATTGACCGAAGATTACGGCCGACCGACGTTTGCTCTGCGGCCACGGCCTTAACTTTGCGCTACCACAAAAATATCATTGGCTTCCTCCTTTTCCCTTCCAACTTCTTTGTCTTCTTCTTTCTATTATTTTTTTCCTTCAGGTATTGATTTCTTTCATGTTTTATACATATATGAAAAACCAATCGATCTTTTACCTTTTTTCTCACTCAAAAACTTGAAATTTTAAAATTCAAATTACAAATTAATTTCCTTTAAATAAATGGTACGTAACGTAATGTTATGAAAAAATTATTCTTATAATCTATTATTGTGTTGCAACGAAAATTACAATACACAAATGTAATATTTTATATATTCTATACATTAGTTGAATAGATATTTAAACGTATATTAGTTGCATAAAAAATTGCAATCCGGTCATTATTCTTCAAATTTTTTCCCAAAACGTATCGACATCGATAAAATCGTTCTTTTTATTCTTGATTTACAAACAAAGTAAAGTATCATCTATCGTTCGTCCGAGAAATTATACGACAAACATTTTAACTGCGACGTAACCACAAAACTTCTCTTTCTCCCCGGTCATACACTTCCCTTTCCTCCTTATCCCGAAGAGAGATGATGTCTAAGCTTATTATCGAGACCCTCGAGACCTCTCTTTCTCTCCATCTTGCAGGATTTGATCGAAGTTGATGGAGCGAGCACGGAGCTAACCGCCCAGAGTATTATGTGTCGAAAAATATTCAAGAAAACCTCTTCGGCCAGTCCTTCGGAGGAGCAATGACTTTTGTCCGCCACGATACTGTCAGAAGTGATTACCCGTAATGGATCAAGCTCTTTAATGCTCTACCCACGTGCGCTAGAAGAATTATCCGTCCGAGAGGCAGCTAGAGCTTGTTTAAAGGGCGTTGTACGCCCGTTATACGACGCGGTAACAAGCGCGATTTCAGCTCACGGTGTACAATTAAAAGTAACACGGCTCGATGCGCGTTAACGCGAGCGAGTCGAATCGTTTGATCCTCCGTAGAAAAATTGCGCGCTCTATTCCGAGAGAAAGAGAAAGATTTATGACATACGGTTCTAAAGATCGTAAATCATTTGGTATATCGTAAACAGCCAATAAGCCGAGATCAAAGAGACATTAAACTCTGGTCGAAGTTGGAGAAGTGGGGTTAGAACCGGTTAATCGTTGATAGAGGAGTGATTATTAAATAGAAAAGAAAAAAAAAAAACAAGAAAAGAAAAAGAACAGATTATTCTTCTCCTAGAGAAGGCTAATTATGAGAGGCATTAATTAAGCACTAACGACGAAGGATTATTAACGAACAAATCGGTTCTCCTTACATGGGGACAAGGTTTTGATCGACGAGCCACGATTTTAGCCGAGGGCAACTTACGACGGCCAATCGATCTATCGATTGAGATCGATCGAATTACCGGTATGCACGATCCTTTCCTCGTATCGATATATATATATGTATATGTAAGGATCGATTGCAGAATGAAAGATTGTGAACTAATACGGGTGACAGAAGGGAGTGTACAGACGCACGGGAAAGACGCGATTGAATTACCATAAAACGCCATGATTAACGTAAAGTAAACGAATATAATGCCGCAATGACCGCAACTTGTTCTATAGCAGTTAGAGTATGTCCCCGCAATGGTTTCCTGTATCTCTACGTCCGACGCGATGTCTTTCATTTCTCTTTTATCACATCGTTCTCTGTGAAATTATAATTTCGTGTACGAATAGATTTAAATTTAATTGGTAGTGGAATTTTAAGATTATCATCTGTGATGAGAAGTACGATAAGACTTTAAAACTTCGCACGGTCATTCAATTATTGGGTTCGTGTGTAATAGGTTAGGTAATATGAACACTGTGAATGCAGAAATAAATCAATTTACATAATATAATATTCCTATATCTAGTTTTAAAATCATTTAAATTTTATGTAAGTATTGTTATGTATGCTAGGTTTTTATTATTTACGTAAATTTATATCAATAATGTTATTCGTTCATTTCAAGTATTGAAACAAATATATAAAAGATATAGCAAATAGAATAGAATATTTTGTGAATATGAATTATATATTTCGTAAAATAAATTGATTTAAAAATTATATATTACATAAATTACGTACTAAAAATTTGATAAGATTTTCATCAATTAAAGACAATATAATTCCTTCAATCTTGAAAATCTTTTGAAGGCGCAATCTAATTGTTTTGAAGCAGAAATTCTGATGTTTTTTGTTTTATAAAAAAGTTAAGTGGTCGATGTGCGTGCACGAGTGCGTGAGAATTGACATGCGTGCATAGGTGTGCGTACGCGTGACAGTGTACGGTAGGACAGAACATATGATACATATGGGAACGTTAGGCTCTGTGGTTTGAAGCCCGTAACGTGTGGCCAGGGCCGTATGAGATGTAAGGCGCCCCAACGATGAAAAGGGGGCCACGATCGACAAGGAGAAACGAAGAAAGGAGACTAACATTTCTGCATCTTGCCACATATTATATGTGGATTTAGCCTTCGAAGATTACGCAAACGACACTAGAGGCTTGATTTCCGATCGATTACAGTGTCTCCGATGACAGGAATTAACATCGTAGCCTTCTACGATACTAGGATATTTGATTCTGTTCGAATTCCATATGATTAATCAAAATCTTTCGTTCGAAAGTTGTTTTACGCTCGAGATTTTATAATCTGTCGAAATCTGACATTTGTCGAAAGATATTTTACAATTTATCTTTGAAATATGGTATCTGCATCAAAATATGATAGATTCAAACTTATCTTGAATTAAATTTAAATTATCTTTTAAGTAACGTCGATTTAAAAACTTAGTTTCGATAGAAAAATTGTTGATTACTTTCTCGATAAATTTTTTGACTTTTTGATTAAAAAGTTCGTCTAATTATTTGTATTTTCAAAGATTTTCAAATTTTAATTGTCATTCAAATAAGAAGAAAATAGATGGAGAACAATATAATAGGTGGCGTTTAGTTAAAAAAATATGGCGGACGTAGATTGAAACCGTTTACGTTGTTTAATTTTTTGTGTGTGATTAAACAAGTGTTATAGCAGAAAAAACTTCCCTGTGATTTCTTAATAACAATCTTTTGTTTATCAAAATTAATTTTTGCCTTTATTTCAAAAGTTTATAACAAATAATTATTCATAATTACAATTAGATTTTCAAAGCGAAATCCTAACCTAATAATTTTTCGTTATTTAATCAACGTGATTGTGAACCACCAATTGGTCAATTGTGCCAAAAACGATTCATATTCGA